AACATTATGTCGTCTCTACGTATTTTCTTCGCTATTGTGCTGATCTCAGTTGCAACGCCATCTGTATTTGGTGACAACTTCCGCGCTGGCTCAAGAGTCGTAAATGATCGTTTGATTGTCCAAGAATGTGTCCAATTGAATGCACAGCCGTTAGATCAAGAATAGGATGTTACATATTGCGATGAATCGAATATCACGTATATAAATGTCATTGAAAACAATCTAAGTATGGGCGCTACTGTGCGAATTGAGTCTGGTGGAACAACTTTATCGGATTCGATAAAGTTGTTTTAGACTTCAGAACGGCGAAAAATAATATTATGGACTTTTCAGTAGAAGTCTACGGAGTGTTAGATTTGAATGGCAAATGGAATTGCGGAAAATGGTAGAGAGCATTTACCCTGTACAAATATATATAATGTAGCATGAGTGAGTAATTGATTTTGGACGTAAAAAAGGGATGAGGGAATGAAGAGAAGAGCGCAGGTACATCGCTAACTGCACGACGTGGCCCTCTGTTTTATTGTGCCTATGATTAAAGCGCGTCCCGGCTCGGGCTTGGGGCATTGACGCGAGGACATCGGTATCGTTCCCGAGAGCTTGCAAAAGCTCCGCTTTTAGCCAGCGCGCGTGCCATTGTCATTCGGACGCACGATGTGCGCTCTACGCTGATTGGAAGAGCTACGCGTGCAAGATTTGTTTTCCTTTATCGCTGGCCTCCCTCCAGGTCCGTATTTCGCCACGTATAATAGCGTCAGATCGCTACAAAAGCCTTGTTTTTTTCTTTTTCTTTTATTCAGAACAAAGCCGCAGAGCTTGATTGTCCGTCGACGAACAACATGTCAAAACAACGCTCGGCTCTTCGCCCATTTCCCTTTTCTTTTTCTTGCTCTTCTGCTTTTTTGTCTTTTTGGTTTCTTGTTTTTGTTTTTTTTATCGAGATAATATTTTCGCGAAACGACGAGTGCTTTCAACGAATTGATGCGCATGTCGCGCGCGACCGGTTAAGATTTTATTGAGAAATTTGCCGGTCGGGGCCAAAAACAAGATTACCCACTCAACTCGGTCCCTCGTCTCCCTTGATCTCGACAAAAGCCCTTGGAGCTGAGAGGGCTGACCTCTGGCCGCTGTACCCGCGAGCCCGTCCTCTTATCTCCTCGCCGCGAATATTAAGCTTTCGGGGGAGGGGCAAGCTGATGAATTCGAAGCTGACCAGCCGACCTGTCATTGTTGCACGCCAAGGATCGATTGTCCTTGCTCGAGAGATTAACTCAACACTGTTTCGACGGCTGCAAACAATTCGGCACAAGCGGCATTCTTGGAGGAAGACACATACGTTCGTACAACTCTCGCGGATTCACGGGCATAACTGCCCGGATAGTCTCTCCATTTGGATTCGTGTGACTTCTGGCGCGGGACAGGGGTGGTTAATAAGAGGACCGGGGAGCAGGCCGCAAGCATCGACTCCTCTCTGCTGTAATGGAAGCTGTTAATCTTGTAAAGTTTCGGCCCCGAGGAGAGGGAACACGGCGAAACGGCCAAAGTTCCAAAGGCAAAGTGCATCGCCGAGATCGTTAGTTGGCGGCAACTAATTATATCGAACGTTTCATTTGCTGTGCGTACATCCTGGCTTTCTTTTCTTCAACGCGAAGCCACGTCCAGGTACGGGCGCATTTAATCGCTGGTAATCATATACCTTGAAAGCTCGGCCCGGAAAATATATCCGTGAGCTTTTATGAGCCGGGCAAGCGCGACTGAAGTCAAAGTGGAGAGACTCGAATTACGCGGGTGATGGCGTTTCGAGTCTTCTTTTTGCCGCCGGGGCTCCAATTCCGCGCGCGCAAAAACAACGAAGGCTCCATCGTCTGCGCGTCCTTCGCCTCTCTCGTTTTTCTTCTTTTTCATCCCGGCTCCCCGTGCCTTTGTTATTTTATCGCGCTGTTTTTGGCCTTTGCGAATCAATCGACACACCGCTTATTGCGTTTCGCGCGATCTTCCGAGCGATTGTTTTTTATCGAATTGAAAATATCGCGCGATTTTATATGGTTCGTTGATCCGATCAACAACTGATAACATTTCATCTTTTTCTTTTCCTTACTGATCAATCGAATTATCCAATGGATCATACGCCTTTGAACAGTTAACAGCTCATTAGAATTTACCATTACTCTTTCAAATCAAATTTCAAAAAACTAAACTTATCATAAATTAGCTGACTTTCAGTTTTCAGTTGAATATATAAGGAATAAAATTGTAGATTCATAAAAAGATGATTTACTTCTACCTATGCAGAAAATATCCAATTTGACTAAAGGTCGCACTTGTGCTATCTGACTTATACGTTTCAGTCTCTCTTTTTTCTGAAGGTCGCTTATTTTCTTTACACCCCGCTTATGAACCGCCGTATATTTGCCCGCTTTGCATGATAAGAACTCGCTTGGCCTCTGCGCGCAACGAAAGAAGGTAAAAAAACTTTTTCTCCACCCCCGCGAAATTTCTTCTATCTCGACGCTCTTGGCGCGACGACGATCGGCTGACTCTGCCAAAAATACGCATGCGTAAGTAGCGCCGCGGATGAAAAGTTGAAATAAAGAATGTCGAAAGTGGCTTTACCTTTATTGAGTTCTTTCCGCTTTCGAACTTGTACGGTACTTTTATAGCGCTATCAAATCGCGATTAAAACCGTGAAAATTGATTTATGCATCGCACGCCTCCAGCACTTATCTGATTTGAAGCAATGATCGCGATATTAAGTCCGCGGTAATAAAGTTCAACGATAAATCATCGAAAAGTTTTCGTTTCCGCGAAAATCTGGCAAGCTGGTAGGCGCGAAGAGAAAAAGAAAAAACGAAATAGGAAATGAAAATCGTGGGCGCGAGAAAGTTCCGACGGCAACCTCGTTAGTCTGCGTTAGCCGAGCCAACGGCGTTCGGGGAGGCCTCGCGCGCGCCCTTCGATATGAATTTAGCGCTGTTTTATGCAAAACAAGCCAATTCTTTACGCGGGACGTATAAGTCGATCGTCGATTGCTAAATCCCTAATCCGATATATCCCGACGCGGCAAAGTGCCTTGTCGAAGTTGCGACGATGAAGCATGAGCTTGTTTACACGCGAGATCCTTTTAGGAGCTGGCGCGTTGGTTTTCAACACCTCTTTTATCGGCTAGACCTGCTAGCTTCAAATACCTATGTGGCAACTTCTCAAAGTATTAATCGAGTGTTTATACGAAATATACTTTACCAATGATACAAAGTTGTGGTTTTTGTGTTGGAGAGAGTGAACTTTTCGATAAAATTATTACAGCCGACAGATGACTACTACGCGATCAAAGTTTCTTTCATCGAATTCATCGTTGCTAGGTAATAAATCATTACCGGATGTTTCATACGATATTTGACTATAACGTAAATTACAGTGGTGTAATATATCCGTATCAGACCAGTTGCTATTAATTGTTCAAAGGCAACCATTTACAGGCAGCGAACCTTATAGAGAGAGAGAGAGAGAGAGAGACGAAGCGCCACTGGCTTCGGTGACAAAGTATAGACATTCAATTACGTATTTACCCTCTTTAATGCATAATAATTGGTGTTTAGTAAGTAAACAGGCAGCGAGCGGCGTAGGCGAATCCTTTCACACACGTGAACGCGGCTACGCATAAATCAAAGGGCCTTTGAAGCGCTCGGCTCGGATTATCATAAACGAATGCAAGCTGTACACATGCAGTTAGGTATATACACGCGCCAAGGTATTAGGCAACGCGAGAGGCTAGGGATTCGCCCGGGTATGATTAATTTTCGTCTGCCTAAAGATTGTATGAAGAGGAACATGGATACAATGTAATTTTAGCTCGCGCCAAAGCCGCTGGATTGCGCCTGTGCACGTGTCCTCGGTCTGAACCAGCGCTTTGTCGACGACGATGTAACGCGTCGACAAGCCAGTATATTCAATTTTTGTTCGAGTCGATTTTTAAGCAACGCTCGGTGATCGGAGTCCTCGAACCGCGAGTAGACTGAATTTGTTGATCGATTTCGTCCTTTGCTCTAACTGGAGTCTAACTAGGATCAAAATAACAAGGATGTCATATTTATCAAAGGAGCAGCGTGCAGTTATCCTAACGTAATCCTTATAACGTAAGCATTTACAACGTTACGCAAGACCGTCATCATTTTTAATTGACAATTAGCTATTCTAATCGCATAAGTGGCTGAGCAGATTGCTGGTTGACTACTTGGCACTACTGATCACAGGAAAAATAAAATCGTTGTTCTTTAGAGATTTTTACAGTCCTTCGATTCAAGAGCGGCTGCTTCAATTTGGCGCATCGCACTCGTTTTACGAAAAACATTCCTCAACCGAACAACAGTTTTCTGTTGCGCAAAAAAGAATTTATGATTTTGATTTGTCCGGCGTTTTTCTAAGCGTCTGACAATTGACAATAATTTTTATTTCTATGCGTTATTGATCGATCGAGCATGACATAAAATCCAATCGATCGAAAGTAACTATCGACGAGAAAAAGCATTTTTCATGGGAGCATATTCGCGCCAGTCTAACAAGGAGCATTTCGTGCCACGAAAGTGAGATCTCTAACGACCCAAGACGCGCCAAATGTCCGGGACGCGTGGGCGCGAATTCAAGATACGCGTCGCCGTCTCTCGCCGTCGTAAAAATAAAAGGAAAAAACTGATTCCGCCACGCTTGGCTCTGCAAGCTGTACGGGGGTTACGAGGTTCTTTAATGCGAGCTCGTTTGACAAAGAGGCCGCGATTTATTAGAATTTTATTCAATCTCGAGTACTGCGAAGAGGAAAAAGAAAATGCCGGGAGAAAATGCGATGGCTATTTTTCATGGCATTTTGCCCGGTAATGCGTTCTCGTATGTCTAATGTGTGATTTACTGGTTACGCAATTACAAATATGACTTATTGTAATTTCATTATGTTTCGACTTGACTCGTGCCAATAAGACGATAACAAAATACGATGATTTTGGTTTCAGCTGCTGGTGTCGTCGACGAGGCTGAAGATTTAGATCCAAGCGTTCAAGATTACACCGACGAAGATTACAACGACGTCTTCGACGCCGCTTCGAACGAGTAAGTCGTTCATTTGATCAATATTAAGATTTCCACTTTGAATCGCAATCAGAGCTCGCGATGCGGATTAGATTCGTTTATGACGACATCACCTGGCGCGAAACATTTATTGATGCCAAAATTACGCATTATTTGAATTGGAGTTGTCGAAGGCTGAACTCAAACACTAATAACGAATCCTTAGTGTAGTAACGAAACTCTATATGAAACTTCTGACAAGCAAGAACGGTAATTATTTCCTTGTCTTCTGCCTCCAATTCGCGCGAGGCAAATAATTAGTTTATCTCAAGGAATGTGGGCTCTCAGATATTGAATATTGGCCCGCAGCAGCTGAGGGTTATTCAGATTGACGCGCTGGCGACGACGAGTCCTCGTTCCGCCTACCTCCGCCCATCCTCCTCTACGTCGATGTATAACTATGACGCTAATGAAGAAGCCGAGCAATTTACGAATTCCGCGAAATCACGCAGTCTCGAAAGCGTTGACGCGCGCCGACGCTTGGATTCTTCGCATGGGAATTCGTTGCTTTTACTTTTCTTTTCGTTCTTTTGTTTCGATTATCCGGAAAATGTGCGCGCCGGGTGTCTTCCCATCGAGTCGCCGTTTCGCGAACCCGCGCGTCCTCGCAAACAAACGGAAGAACGGCGAACGTGGCGCGAGCTCGGCAGCGCAAACAGCGCGCGCGGCGTCTATTCAATCCAAAGCGAACGCGAGCAGAAAAAAAAAAACTCGGGAGGGGTGCCGCGGGGCTTAATAAGGAAACGAGGCGCGATTGCTTCGGATTCGAAAGTTAATAATGCCACTTTCCCGCGCGCAAGCTCTCTTTGTTCTCCCCCCTACCCTTTGTTGATGTTTTTTTTTCTCTCTGCCCCCTCTTTGAAATTTTACAGCTAGATAGCGGATCATTTGTTTAACCAGAGATTTAATTCAACTTGCGATCCTCCAGCGACGCGATTGGCCTCTTTATTTCTTTGATTATTTTCCATCGACTCTCTCTCTCTCTCTCTCTCTCTGCACCGGCTTCCTCTATTCCAATTTCGCGTATATTTTCTCTCTCAATCTCGCTCTCTCTCTCTCTCTCTCTCTCTCTCTCTCTGTCTCTCTGTCTCTCTGTCTAGCCTTCCTTGCGTTTATAACGATATCACGTGGTCGCGTGATTAAAATTGAATTCGTTCTTTTTTTTGCGCGCCGCACGCTATAGTAAAGGGGAAAGCTAATTTAAACGGGAATCGAGATGGAGCGACCGAAACAATAGGTGCGCGCGTGGACAAATCGAACTTGATTGTCGCGGTGGAGTTTCTTTCTTTTGCTCTCTTGTCCCCGCGCGCATGCTCTAATTATTATGCAGACGCTCGTTCCCTTTGTCCTCGCTACGATCCCCCATCGTCGCGATCAGCGTTTTAGCCTCCGATCTACGGAGCAGTCGTCGTGAGAAGCAAACAAGCCAAATAGTTACCGAAGAAATAGAAAATTGCTCGTTCTTCCATGTAGGGCATCGATTGGCCGCAATAGCTCGACGTAAAACGATCGAAAAGAAAAGCCGTCGAGTCATCGCGCTATATGCACACCATCGAAAGCGATATCTCTTGGCGCGTCGGGCACCGAAAACAAAGAGCGAGATCCAATGCTCGAGATGTAGAGTCCGAGGCGCACGCGAACAGATACATACATTGGTGTGCGTATATCCTACAGCGAAGGAGATGCCAAAGAAAAGCTCGCTCGCTCGAGCGGCGCGGAGACGCGCATACGCCAGACATGCATTATTCCGGTCTAAACGCAAACTGCACGGGCCCATTAATATTGATGCTCCTCGGGTTCTGCTGGCGCGCGCGGCGCCCGCGTCTCTTTCGCCGAGGGCACGTTGGCCTACTTTGCTTTGTGCGCCGTCGAGGCTCTCCCCGCCGGTTCTCGTTTGTAATTCATTGGCTTGACGACGCGCAGACACCGTGATTGTTTTCCCTGCGGTTGCTCCGATTCTTCAAACTCCTGCGCGTCGCGCTGACTCAATCTCGGCTTCTTCTTTTTATTTTTATTTCCATTGCTAATTGATCGATAAATCACTTCGAGTCACGTTTCTGTTTTTTATTCTTTTTTTCAAGCGTTTTTGCGTTTAGAAACGTCAAATGCTTTCATGGTAATGTCCGAGCATACTGCATTTACTCACAACAATTTGTATGGAGTTGTTGAATTGCAAAACTGTTATCTTTGGTTGTTCGTTTTTTTTTGACCAATTTTGTTGATGTTATATAAACAAAAAATTGCTCTACATAAGCAATCCATTTGAATAAAATTACCGTGACATAAACTGCAATATTAACGATAGATTCTAAAAATACGAACGCACCAAACATCATTCTTTCCAAATATCAGTTTTCTCTCTAGAGATCGAACTGACAGTTTTTTTTCAACGTAAAAAAATGAGAAAAAAAGATACCTGCCCCACGCCGAAAATCTGTCGTCATCTAAAAATACAGCTAACGAAATTTCCACGAAAATATTTCGAAAATCATTGTTGAGATACGTGTCCAAGCACAGTCAATCAAGTGAGTGCCCGCTCGCGAAGCACCGAAAAAGAACGAGCAGACGGAAAAGCTCAACGTTTAAAAGTTGCAAGTCACGAGTCGAAGAGTAAAAAACTCATTCCCACAATAGATGGATAGATATTCTAAGCGCCAAGCAATCGATCGTAAATTATGTTTCATACGTGGGGGCCCAAGGTGAGCACGTGGGTAGACATGTCTCGTTCCTTCTCGTCGCGGATATTAGCGGCCGCGAACGTCATAAGACGAGAAATCAATTGCCGTGGCGCTACGTGTGACGGAAAGTACCACGCAAGCCATACCGACTATATATATTCCTTTGTTATGTTGTTTCTTTTTCATTTCGTAGATGGTTCTTTTTTTGCTTTTACGTTTTGATCTTTAAATATCATAGTTCGACTGTTACTGGAAAAGTAAACAATGCGACTCGTCGTTCACAATGAGCAGAGAAGAAGAGACGCGCTCGAATCCCAAGTGAAATACTTACGAGAGCTTCATGAAATTGCAACGAATCGCGAACGTCAAACTTTGATCTGCGCCGCACACCCTGACCGCACGACGTCGGTTTTAGACTTCGACGCGGAACGCCTCGCGCGAGCTATCAGTTATGCGAGCTAAGGCTACAGGTACAGTATCGAGGGCGCGTTTACCGAAACTTCAAAGAGCCCTCGACGCGCCTAAGCAGCTTCGATTTCGCAAGCTCTCCCTTGGAATTCTCGCCGCTGGAATATCGAGTCAGCCACTGGTGCGGCATTAATTGATTCCCGACGCTCTGTGCCACGACACGGGGTCGCGCCGCGAATGAACGCAGGAGAAAGACGTGCTCGTCCTTCCCGCCCTTGAATATCTTGCGGAAAGAAGAGCCAGCGCCAGGTATTATTTATTTGGAGAGACTTTCATCGGACATTCTCTCTCTCTATCTCTCTCTCTCTCTCTATCTTCGATCTTAAATCTTGGTCTTCTAGCGCTGTCTCAACTGTCAATGCGAGGTAAATAATCTCCTGCGAGCTTGCCGCGCGCCGCGCGAAATTACTGATCGGACGCGAGAGCGAGCGCAGGTTTCGTTTTCTCGGAGCGCGATGGGGTCGCAGACGCGGCGGGAAAAGTTTGTTGCAAGCGCGCTTCGATGACTCACTGAGAGTGTACCAGGAGCAGCCAGCCGGGGAAACCCCGTGAGCGTGTTCGTCGAAGGAGGCGATGTTACCTGATGTACGCACGACGCTTTCGCTGATTAATGCCGTCTGAGTCACCCGACAGGCCGAAGCTCGCGATCGTACTCTAAACTACTCTTTTCGGATCGAGTTGGACGAACGGACAATCAGTTCGGATCACTCAAAGCTTTTTCAATATTCCAAAATTAATTTCATCGACGACGACGAACAAGACAAACGAAGCTCGATTCAATTTGGTATAATATCCATTGTAATGTGATATCTCGCTTTGAAGGTCGCAACACGTGGAATAAGCGTAGCTCTCTCTCTCTTTCTCTCTCTCTCTCTCTCTCTCTCTCTCTCTCTCTCTCTCTCTCTCTCTCTCTCTCGACGACGACGGAAAGTAATTCAATTTGACCACTTTTATCGAACTGTGCACTTGCCCGTTTCCCATTGGCCGCCAGCGGCGATCGAAGCTCTATTAATAGCCCGAAATAATGAAAAGGATTGGGTTGCGATCGTACAGCGAAAACCAATAGCCGGCAACGCCACTGAAAATTTTATAAAGCCGCGACTATACGTGCCAAGCTCATTGGAAGCCAGCTGACACGGCGACTCGTTCCAGCTCGTTTATTGCTTTTCGCGACGGACAGAGGAGAGCTCGCCTTTCCATTTTTCACCGCGGCTTTCCTCTTGTTTTCTTTTTCGCCGCGTCCGCCGCCCGGCGCACTCGATGAAAAATCTGTCTCGGATCTGCGGACGCGCGCGCGCCCCCGGCTCGCCACTTAATTTTTTTCCGCCGACGCCGGGACTCACGAGGCAGATGCTCGCGGCCGGGGGAGCTTTTATCCGAAATTTCGACCGTCCGACAGCCAATTTCGCGCTTACGCGCGGTCCAGACAATAGCCCGATCGACTCGCGTCGTCTTTCACGGGCAGAGGCGGAGCAGGCTATGTAGCCCGCTAGCGGAGCCGCAGTGGCGATTTGAATAATTGAGCAAGCCTCCCGAACGTATACGTGTACTTTGTATTACCGGAATTCTTCTGCCGTTCCTTCGCGGCGGGACCCATTCTCTCTTTCACTCTCGTGCCGCCGCTGAAAGCCAAGTTTTAATTGCGTCGCCAGCACTCGGTAATTAAATTTTTCCTTGGCCGACGCCGGTTGCACGCTTCGCCTCCCTTTTTTCGCTCAACGGAACCGCCGGAGCTTCCAATCGCGATAGTAAGCCTTCGTTACACCGCGGGTATCACCATATTTTGCCGATGTACAGATTATTAATAAACAGCGTTTTAATCCCGATGCACATTAATTAATCGTTAACTCGAATCAAATTTAATATCATCGGTCCCATCTTCACATCGACGAATTCTCCAATTATATGTCAATGATTGCGAATCATAGTTACACGAATTCGCATTGACCTGACAATCAGAGACGAGCGATCCGCATCCCCGAGCTTCGTGAATGATTGACGAGCGACAACGCTCTCGTGGACGAGAAGTCATCCCAGGTCTCAAGTCCGTACGAATGCCGAACCTTACGCACGCGATTTGCATTCGATAAGCGCCGAGGTTAGTTACGTGCACAGCGTCGGCCCCTCTCTCGGCTTCTGCTCTGATTATACTGCCGATGTTGCGTGCATCCAACTTGATCCGATCTCCCCTTCCTTACCTATTGCGTTGCGCTAATTAAGCGCCGCGAGCGTCTCATTTTAACTTATTAATAGCCGGTCGGTTTTTTTTTTCTTTTTCTTTCTCACGAGAATCATTGCTTGGCCGTATTCACAAATGTTAAGATCGCTCGTGTTTAGGTCAAGTTGCGGGATTGATGGCTTTGAAAGGTGAGCCAACGATCAATCCACGATACAATAAGGGCAGACACAAACACTGTGGGAATTAATATCAATCTCGTAGTGCTTACGTAGAGATTGCAGATACCTTTACGTACTGAGATTGGTAATTGAAATAAGTGAAGCCGTAGATTAAAGACTTTTGATAGCGCTTATCGAGAAAAGAAAAGTAGAGAACTATACATTCGAAGTTGAAGCGAAACTATTGACGATGAGAATTGTCAGTCGATAGAGGATCGTCTAACTCGACGGTATCTCAGTTTTCCACATTAATATTATGATATTGATATTAATTCCCACGGCTTGATGCCTGGCGTTAATATGTCGCACGTGCAGCGCAGCATATACCGCCTAACACCTAGCAACTCGCACATCATAATGTATGCGAAAGCTAGATGTACTGGGCTGTATACCCATGGTAATTCCAGTGTATTATCACACAACGCGACAGTGCAATCACGTAAGATTCAAATGCGTACAGTGCTGCGGGAATGTAGCCACTTAATTGATGTCTGCTGGCGCTCGGCATTTCCAATATCCAATCACCTTCGATCTTCGCTGATCCGTCAATTAGCGATTTTCTGAATGTTTCTTTGGTATTCCCGTTAATTGGCCAAGAGAGGTAGCGGGCAAACACGTTGATTACCGCGGCTCACCTCCGACAAGCACGCACACACGCTGCTTGTCCCTTTGTCGAAGGCACCCCTCGCGAAATGTATGCGCCTCGCCACCATCGCCACACTCGTGTGTAGCGGATGTGCGGTGGATACTCTTGTTTGCGCTCGCACGGCTGCCAACTACGGCTACTAATGGCCATTACCAGCAGCGCGCGCGCACTTTGTAATCATTTATGTGGGTCAGCTTACAAAAAGAGAAAAAAGAAAACAAGAACAAAATTGACGCGTCAAGAGGATTTCATGTCTGATACTTTACGCTCATCCTTTGTGGAATTCGCGTTGTTACAGACCGACAAAATCACGCGATAACAGCTTCGAAGCCTTCAATCAAACTGCGAAATTAATAGTTGCGACCGGCGTGTCTTTCAAATTAATATCAAGATAGGTACGTGGAACTTCCCGAAGGCGCTGAAATTCTCCGATAGCCGCGTAACTTCCGTCAGTAGTGCCGATAATCACGCGTCGCTCGTATTGTTATTTTTTGTCGTTGCTGGCGCATCTGTCTTCGTGACGCCCTCGAGGGACTTTGCAAGCGGCTCTCTCTCTCTCTCTCTCTCTCTCTCTCTCTCTCTCTCTCTCTCTCTCTCTCTCTCTCTCTCTCTCTCTCTCTCTCTCTCTCTCTCTCTTCCTCTCTCTTGCATATTTTACACGCGCTAAGTGGAGGCCATTATTCGACTTTATACGTATATATACGCGTAGTGCGCGCAAGAGATGGAACAGTTTTAATCTCTCCGTAGTCCTCTTTTTTATTTTATCTCGATACACCTTGATGCGTTTCGTCTACTATTTTTTAAGAAAGATACCCGTTAGATTTGTCGTTAACTACAGCCATTCTTTCTTTTTTCAAAGTCGAATATTCGGGCTCGGCGAGTCGATGACGACTTTGAGGACCTCAAATACGACACGCGAAAAATTCGTCCTAAACGGGTAAAGTAAAAGCGGGCGGGCATTCGGACGGAAGAGCCCAAGTGAGCAGTCGAGGACCGACGATCGAACTGCGAATCGTCAGGTATCGCGAATATCGGATTAACTTGGTAAAGCTACCCGGGTTATCGCGTACATGGCAGCGTCTGCTCGTCAGACGTGGGACAAAACGTTCGCGCATTAATTTTTCTTTTTTTTTATTTACCTCGTGCTGGCGAAGTGGCAGTCTAGTGCGAAAAAATTTCCACGTGCAAATGAAATTCAAGTTATCGATGATTAAATTGAAGAAAAAAAAGAGACTCGTCGAATGAAAACTCGTGGGAAGATCCTTAAAAAATACTCGAATAATCTGATTTCAGCACGGACGATGAGGCGCCGGCGGACAAGGCCGGCACGTTGAAGTTCACGCGAGCCCTAGCGAATTTGACCAAAGACGCCGGAAGCGTGGTGCACATGAGATGCGAGATAGTCGGCAACCCGCCACCAAACAAGATTCGCTGGTTCAAGAACGAGGCGCTAATCAAAGAGGAGTCCAACAGGATTATCATCAAGAAAATCAATTATCAGGTGAGAGGCGTCGCCCGCGGCGTAACTGCTGCTCGGCCAAAGCGAATAATCGCGCGAATCGACTCGTTTGCAGAATCACAAGCACGCGGCGAAGAACATAGCCGGCAGCCGCCTGAAGATCGTGCGCTTGGACGCGAACGATCGAGGATTTTACGCGTGTCGAGCGAACAACGGCAAGGAGTTCATTCAGAGCGAGGGTACGCTTCAAGTCAGAGCCTCGCGCCACGGTACGTATACCCGCATCGAGTTCCCCCCTCGAGCGGAGTATCTGCATGTTGGATCTACAAAGATGCATATCAAATGTAAAACTTGTCCTCTAATTTGACGTAACAGTACAATGCCGCTTGAAATATATTCGTGGTAATGGAGCAATTGAGCGTCGTAAATTAGCGAGCGAGCCGGCGGCCACGTCATCGCTGGCGCGGCGCGCGTGCCTTTGGCTGATTAAGACGCGCGCTGCGGTCGACAAAATAAAAAACAAAAACGCTGGAAAGTCAGCCAGTCCCTCGTGGAAACGTAAATCACGCGCTTTGAGAGAGAGAGAGCGAGAGTCTCGAGGGGCTGGCCTCAAGCCACACACTAGTGTACCTCTGCCACCGACGCGATGCTAAAGGTCCGCGCCGCGCGAGGGCAGAAATTCATTTTTAACGTGGCTTTCGACGAGAGAAAAGAAAAGTAAAAGCGAGAAATTAGCGAGTCCGCGAGGCTTTGGCCGAGGAGCCTCGGAAAGTCAAATGGGAGCGTTGAGAAATCTCGAAATTGTTCGATTCGTCTTCCGACTCGAGGCAAGACTCCTCTCGAGCCGATGCGGACGCGGAAATAAATTTTTGCCTGTTGCCTCGAGTCCTCGGCATCATTTATTCAAGCGTTTCAGAGTGACTTTTAAGCCGGCCGTAAAGCCCCGTCGTGAAATTATTATACAAGTTCGCCGACGCACGGCGCTCTTCGACGAATATTATCGCGTCGCGTGCAGCGTCGAAAGAAAGAAAGAGAGAGAAAAAGACACGTCCGGATTACCCGGCGAAAACCGAGAGTTGCGGCTGTACTCTCGTAGCCGTAAACAAGCGGCGCGATCCGAAAACTCGCGAAGAAAGCTCCTCTCTCGGGCAAGTTGTTATCTCCGCGGCAGCGGGCGAGGGAGACTCGCCCCGCCAATAAAGTCTAATCTAATCCGGCGGCCAGTGCGCACGGCTCTCGGGCTCTCTCTCTCTCTCTCTGCAACTTTTAAATGTGCCTTGCGCCCTCCTCGAGGCACATGTATGGATTTCAATGTTGTTTCCTTCCACTTCATTGGCTCCTGGCTGCGCGACGCGCTCGCGTTTCTGCTTTTCCTTCCGGCTCGAATCTCGTTCTCGGCTTTTCACACCATAGCTTTTCACCGGGTTATTCGTTTGCCCAAGGATTCGTGCGACTTCGTTCATTTACTGCTCTTCGATTGGGGAAATACCCGGCGACTGTTGTTCTGCTTATTTCCGAACGATTAAAAAGCATTTCACGAGCTGAACTCGCGGTAAAGTTGGATTAATCAGAGCTAGACGATGAAATACATCGGGCCGCGCAAATCGCAATGCGATTAGCTGGAATGAGTGAAAAATTGAACGTTGAGGAAACTTTGGAAGGCGAGCAAGGCAATGAAAAAGCAATTACGCAAGTTCAAAAGCCAATCTCAGGCCGATCCCAAGAAACAAACATGAATTAATAATAGCTACGAAAGCGTGAAGGAGAAAAGAGAAAAAACGGAAAAAGAAGCTGCCATCGCCATTCACCCTCTTCATAAATGAAGCAGGCGTGCACGCTGAGGGAAGCTTTTACATTATCACTCGCACGCAAACGAAAAAAAAATTGAAAGCACTCCAGTCAGGGAGTTTTCCGCTAATTTTGACGCGGTGACTGAAAAGTTTATAGGAGCGATTGTCGGGAAAATTTCGTCGAGTGAGAGTTTCCCTGAGCGCGAAGAAAAAAAGAAAGAAAAAAAGGGAAAATGTTCATCAAGTGTCGTTCGGCCGCGAGGTTGAAAAATTTGCATAAACTCGAGAGAAAGTTGCGCATTCGAAATTGTTTCTGATGAGTCTTACAACTTTTCAGCGCGCCGCGAAAGTTTTCGGGTGTTTTACGAGTATAATCCTCTTCCACTTGGAGTAGTCTTTTCAAAATATGAAATTGTTTCAACAAATCGCCCGCGAGACACATCCCTTTTTAATCGTTTGAAATGCCCGTCAAGTCTCAGCGGGCATGCAATAGGCATTGGATCTTATGGAGCGAAGCTCGCAATTCCCCAAGGAGCTAACAGTGGTAAAGTGAATTCGGCTAATCGCAAAGGCAATCGCTGACTCGACTTCGACGAGAAGAAAAATGGCCGTCTTTATCGCCGAGAATATAGTGTATATAGCTTCCAACGTTTTCTAACGCTCAACCCTTTTCTTTGGCTTCGCGCAGTCGAGAGATTTCTTTGTCAACCACTTAGTAGTGATTTATTTTCTTGCTATGGACCTCGGTAAAGTAAATTGTAAATTAAAAAGACGTATACAACAGCAAACTTATTGCAGTTTCTTTCCGTGCACAACGCGAGAAGTTTTCTAAGCCTGTCTTTCAAAACCGGAAAACGGCGTTAAGCACGGTCGCTTAAATTCATAATAAATATTGAAATTCGCATCGAATTCGATTCCACATCTGGAAAACGAAAAATCAATCGGTCCAACGCGAAAAAGCAGGAAACCTCGAGTGTTACGATCTCCATCTGCAACAATTCATAACGAAGTACAGTTGAACGATTGGCTTTTAAGAACGGCTATGAAGCCAGATACGAAAATCAATGCAAAGCGCAGCGGCAGAGCGCAAACTCGGTGAGATAATCGTCGAGAGGTCGGGCATGCAGGTATAGCATTGCAACTGATCGCTGCACACGTGTACGAATTTTCGTTGAAGCAGCTGCAGAGGACAAGGTTCAATTTACGGTCACAAGTTTATAGCTGCCGCCAGCCTACGCGCACGAACCGTAAACGATGCTCGCCGATGTGTGCGCGTGTGTGTACGTGTATCGTCGCCTACATATTTATTGGCTCGAGAGACTGAGAGAGAGAAGCATCTCGTGCGGTTGAATTAGCTTACTAAAAGCCGCAACGGCAGCGGTAACTCGGATTGTTTGAATTGTTAGCCTGCGCTCTCTCGAACTGAGTTTGTTCTCGCCGCTTCGAGCGATATATACACATATATTGCTTCTTGAAAGCTCCCACTGAAAGATGGCTTTCCCTCAGGATAGATAGCTGTAAACCCCAAACCCATTTTCATTTTTACATTAAACCGAACGTCTCGTCGAGCAGCCTTTCAAACACCGTGAATTGGACGAGAAAGAAAGCACTGGCAGTGAAAAGCTCGCGACCCCCCCCCCCCCTCTCCTCGGCGAAGAGGAAAGACTAACGGGTCAATAAAAGTAAAACAAACGCCTTAGGCCCGCTCGTCATTGGCTCTTATTGCGGCACTGCCTTATCGCTTATATATATATATATATATATATATATATATATATATATATATATATATATATATATATATGTATGTAGGCGTGCGGACGTCGAACTCCCTGTGGGGCGAACGGCAATGACTGCGCGCTAAACGGCGCGTGCGATTATTCCGAAAGGGACGCGATGCTGCACACATGTATACGCGCGCGCCGCGTACAAGCTTATCGGACGAGCCAAAGGCCGCACAGCTGCGGCGCCCGCGCGGATGTCCCTATCAATTCGTCGGATTGCCCATTGCTGTTTGCGCGCGGGAAATATTGTTACCCGTAAACTGACTCCTTGCTTGTGTTTTCCGCTCGAGGCTTGCATTTTCGATTCGTCGTCGTTGTGCTTCTGTTTTCCTGTGAAAATCTTGAGAAAGGAAATGTGCTCCGCACTAAAAACGGGGCGCAGCGAGGATGGCAGGGGGTGGTAGATAAACCATTAAATCTCAAAATGCACGGACATTTCCGAATTGTCGCTTGACCGCGCCGGCATAGAATTTACGAGGGTCACTGCCATATACAACGCGTGCTGAGCGCAACGCTGCAAGAAATTATACCGGATCTGCTCGCGTGAAGCGTTGTAGAGTGCGAATGTGCCAATAGGGGCGCGAGGTCGCTGTCTCTTTTCCTTTATCCGCGATCGTGTCGAGTAGAAAAAAAAGGTATGAGGTCCGTAAATTTAATGCCGAACGCACGCGCCCACTGATCTGATCACTCGGAGCTGTTAAACTCAACCCTGTCCTTTGTTTCTTTTTGGGTTCATAACCAACTACACCGTTTTTATGCATCGCAGATCGAGAATCTTCGCGTGAATTTTACATTATTTGGATGAAACTGGTGATAACTCGCACGATCACTCGATACTATTTTATGTCAAGAAATAAAGATTTTACTGAAACTCATAGCCACGATAAAGCTTCGTAATTAATACGTTGAGCGGCACACATTTTTCTGCAACACCAACTCTGAGCGTGAAAGTGATTATGAAGACTTTGGGCATCGGTGATCGAACATCTGACGTCAAATTTTGAAAATTTGAAACAGCGGATTTAATGTGGCAAAAAGAATTTTTAAAAAGATTTTTATTTTGAAAATCTAGCGTTACAAGATACTTCGAAACAAGTATACGCTGCTACTTTTAGAAGTACGCAACCGTATGTTCAACGATATATCGGAAGCGTGAAACACAAAAAGACGAGAAAGACGATCCATACTCGTGCCATCAGCCTTCGCAGACCACATAAGCGCAGCAAAACTTGGGAAATCAACTGAGAGCAGTAAATCTCGCGCAGCGGCACGATCGTCTCCGCGGTCAGCTCATATCAGCGCAGGACAATTAAGCGGGCGACAATCGCGCGCAAAATCATCCCTATCCGAAATGCGAACGAGCCACGGCAGCTGGCGAGTAAAGCGTGACGCGGCAATATGTTTACGCGGCCGCACGCCTCGGTTCTGGCTGGCTCGGGGGCTGCCCGTAAATCCGGAAAGCCGAGGGCTTCGACGGGCGCAGAACTTGCGCGTTACACGGCAGTCGGTCCGCGTCCTATCGTCCGCGCGCGGCTTGTCGCGCGAATGTCGCGCGAGGGATGTGTTTTGCCCGCGAGCAAAAAGGAGCGAGCGCCCCGCCGAAAACTCGCCAACTATCGCGCGCCGCACGCGCGAGAGATAATTACTCTCGTCTTTTTTTTGTTTTTTTTTTTCTCTCCTTTTTGCTCTTGCGCC